AGTCTCAGAGCTGGGGAGAACTTTGATAAATGATCTGATTTAACCCTTGCCTATAGATAGGTGAATGTAGTTTACAAGTATTAAGACTGATGGCCTGTGGACAGTGGGCCATGCTTGGCCTTTTGGGACATACACAAAGTGATAGGACAACTCCCTTGCCTCAAAGGAGTTGATGTGTTTCCAGTGATGTGTTTCCCAAAGTGCATCAGTATCACTTGGGGGAGAAGGTATGATTGTAAAAATGAACGTTCCAGGCCCCATCTCAGACTTACTGATTCAGAAAGTTTAGGGATGGGACGCAGGAATCCACATTTTTTAAAGCATCCCAAGTAATTCTTAACACCATTTAACATTTGAGAACCCCTGCTCCAGTAGGTCTGAGAGAGGTGCTCAACATAATATCAGAGAAGTGTTGAATATGGACTAAATAGGGGGCCTGTCTTCTAGGGACATAAACAGAAATTTGAGAGGAAAAAAAGCATCTTCCTTCATTAATGCCAGATATCTACCAGAAAACACTAAGACATCTCTTAGCCTGACCCAGACATTTTTCTAAATTATACTGACCACTAAGTTAGATTGTGAGCTATCAATTTCATAATAGAAACCCTTAGTGGGGAAACTTAAAATCTCTAGTGATCCATGATTCTCCCTAAAATGCCTAATTCACTTGACATTTAGTATGGATTCATTTAGTTCATGAACCACACGTTTTAGCCTATTTTCTTCCCATGACAGTGGTGTTCTAAGGAATAGCAATTTTTATAATATTTTCCTTTGACAAAAAATATAAAAAACTAGTAAACATAAAGTTGAATTCAGAAACATGTGAGATATTTGAACTTTAAAAAAGTAAGCTCCTAGCAGAATTAATTGGCACATACAGATTCTGTATAATGTATAATGTATAAGATCTAGCACTTTGTATACAGAAAAATCATCTGGGGGTGCAGCTATCAATGCAGATTGCAGAGGAGTCTGACTCCATAGAAGTAAGATGGGTAACTGAATTTTTAAGTAGCACCCCAGCTAATTCTGATGTGAATGGTTTTGAAAAAACAGTCCTGGGGTTTCAAGAATCCAAGCTTATACCTACCTAAACTTTCCTTTGAATCTAAATCAATATATTAAACACAGTAGATTATCAATATATGCGTATTTATTTTTTTTTAACTTTTAGTTTTTTATTTTGTTTCAGACAGCTGGACGAGGCATCTACATTCTAGCACATCTTAACAATCACTAAACAAATGAAAGACGACTTACTTATGTATAAAAATGCAAGGGGAAAAGGTCATGATTGTCAACAGGGAATTTGAATCCCCAAATAAATTATCTTACAAAAATATCAAACTTGCTTTTCCACATTTCTACTGTTAAAAATGAAGGAGAAAAATTCACATTAAAAAAAATCTGTAGGCTGGTATAGCAAGTTAAGATAATCATTTTTACATACTAAGTCCTTCAAATAAATATCTTAAACAAATTTAAGTTTTTCAAAAAATAGGTAAAGTATTTACCTTATATTTGGTCCACTAAAAGACCGTTTATAAAACTGACATTAAACTGGACTGTAGCTCATACCCTGTGAGTAGTAACATACACATCACTGAGGCTGGCTATGCACGTGTGCATATTACATATATGTGAACAGCTACTGCTGTACATACTACTTTTATGAGTAGTTTTACCCTGTAAAAATCCTCTAGTCTACCATGAATCGAACTGCACAGAAAAAGAAAAGAAAATACTCTGCGTAGTGTAGACATTTACTCAGTAATTTTTAACAATGCAAATATTACCACGTTTTGGGGACTTTAAAGATTACTGAACACAAGATAAAATTCAATACTGCTTACAAATACCTGAATATGGAGAGCAATATATGCGTATTTAATTAAAGTAATCACAAATGGGAAGAAATAGGGAAATTCAGCTCATTTAATCAGAGCCCACATTCTGTTAAGTCAGAACTGGGGAATCTTGCATGTGTCATAAATTACTGACCTCCAGCATTAGGAGCCACATATAGTAAAAAGACAACTTAATGTAGGCTTTTGCTGTTGCCTCTTTTAGAGAGTATATAGAACATTCTAATTACCTACTTTTAAAACGCAAGATATGCTGAACAGTGTGCATATATGGCAAGGGGGATAGTTGACTGAGGGTTGGGTAATGCGCATGATTCTCTGGCCAAAAGCAATAATCAGAGAAACATAATTGTGGTGACCATGCAAAACAAAAGCAAATGGAATCTGTCCTTGATCATTCCTGATGTTAGGATTGTAATTTCCCCATTCCCACAGGAATTAATTGTGGAAAAATTAAACACTTGCAGTATTATCTAATTACTGATAACTCACAGAGAACTGGGATGTTGTCATCTTCCTTTGGGGGGGGAGATATGTGTGGGTTCTGGGGCTATGAGCTTTCTCAGAGTCTAAAAAGTATGCTTTATATATTTATATAACATATTATTGCACAAATAGTCCACAAACTTATAAAAGGAGCTCTGGTTTATTACTTAATGATGGCCTAACCTTGAACAAGTTATTTGCCCCTTCAGAGGCTCAGTTTTCTCAACTGGAAAATGGATACCCAGGCTGATCTGGATTCATAGCCCTGGCTCTTTCCACTCCGCCACGACATTCCCCACAGCACAGTGCCTAACTGAGGTTTACATGGGAGGATCCTAAGAGATAAGTTTTACAAAAATGCTCCATGAGCTGTAAAGCACTATACAGATGAAGTGGATTATTATTAGTTGTTTTATAAAGCCCAGTTATAAAGATGCAAAGTGACCCAGAAAAAGAAAACAGGGTAGACAAACCTGAAATACAACATCTATAGTGCCTAGAACTTTACCTGGTGCAAGGTAGATAGCTGCTTAGTAAGTACAGAGTAAATAAAACACACACACCAAAAAACAAAAACAAAAACAAAACCAGGTCTGTGCCTTCACCACACTAGATGTGATACCAAGAAGGAATAAATATAACTAAAAGCAAGGATAGTTTGATTTAACCATACAAGCCACAATTCCCCAACAACCTAACATCTTAAAAACTACTTGATGTGAAAGAGTATTAAGATGTAAGATTGACCCATCATCTTTAAAGAAATGGTTATATTCTTACCTCTTTGGTCTTTCAGATGCAGCCTTGTAGGGACAGCAGAATCTGGGTGAAGTTGCTGAGTTTTTTCCCTGTATCAGATGGATCTGCATAATCATTGTAGCAACCTGTAGAGGAAATAATAGATTCTATAGAATGTTGGGTACCTAAGCTCTGTTTTGGATTTGGAAGGCTGATTTTTAGTGACATACTGATTTTAAGCAAACCAGATTTATCCCTTAAGCTCCCCTCCCCAGAGATACACCAAAGGAGGCTGGGGTTGAGGGTCCTAGCGGTTATAAAACAAATTCTTTAGGAGCCCTTTGTCAGTTTCCTAGAATACATAAAACGTGATTCAAATTTAAATATTCAAATTGCATTACACACAACTTTTGACATAGCTATTTATAGAAAAAGACAACACATTAAAAAATTCAAGGGAAAAAATGTTTTCTTCTGGGTGGGCCTTAACTGCGTTCCCCCCCAACCCCCATTGCAAATATATTTTTATGTTGGGTAACATTTCCAAAACAGGGATGCTTTTTTCTATTGTTGAAATGAAACAAACAAGTTTGCTTTCAGAGCCACAGAAGTGCCCAACTGTTAGAAAAAACGTTTTCTACTGGCCTCTTGCCTGTCCTATCCCCATGCAACCTTTCCTATTGGCCCCTTTCTCTAGGAGGGCCCCTGGGGCTGTCTGCTGGAACTGACTGTAAAACCATTTTGTGCAGTGAGAACTAGTTTCTTCAAAATCTCAGAGACCGACCACCCAGAACATGCCTGATTTTTGGCAAATGTGTACGTGTTTTCTCGGTATTTGATTAGCTGTATGCTAAATAACTGACCCGGTTTTCTGGGTCTTCATTTGAAAAAGAGATGGGGGTGGGGGGGGAGCGTTTTAAAAACTGACGAAAGGAAGAAAATCTCTTCTTACCAAAAATCTATTTAAAATTCATTTTACGTATTTGTCTTTTGGGTAAGGGGCAGGACAAGGGAATTAAATGCAAAGATTTCAACCAAGCTAAACCGTTCAAAATGAGCAAAAGCGTTTAAACTCTGTGTTGAACGTAAGCATGTGCTAGGAGCTCATGAAAACCTGCCCCTCCCAACCAGAAAGCTTCCCAGGGTGGACTTGTCTCCTGCGCTGATACCTATGGCCGGGAGGGAATCTCGGAGCAGGGTCCGCGACGGCACAGCGAAGCAGAGGCTCCTTGAGAACAGGCCCTGGCTTTGTCTCATCCTGCTGTGTTCCTCTCCTCACGGCTTCCTCCCTCACATACTAGGTGCTCAATTAATGTTCGTGGGTCTCAGGAAGCGGACAATCCGCAACTGCCCCCACGCCCCAAGCGAATTCTCGGGAACGCGAGTTTACTCAGACCCACTCTCTCCTCGCGTTCGCTGAGGTCACTTGGTCCCGGCTGCCACAGCCCCGGCAGCTGGAGAGTAACCAAGAAGCCGAGCTGCTGGAGCCAAGATGGAGCGGAAGCGGGAGAGCGAACGAAGCGGCACGGAGCTCTAGCTGGGGGGCCCACCTGACCGCCGCACGGGCGGCCCAATCCCGCGCTCCCATTGACCAGGAGGTCCGTGCAGCCAGCGCGCCAGGCGGGGGCGGGGGCGGGGAGGGACGCCCCGGCGCGCGCCCAGCCCCAGGCTCCGCCCCCGCCAGGCCCTCACGCGCCCACCTCGGGGAGCCGCAGGCTGGGGGACGCTGGGGGAGGGGAGGCCGCGCCGCGCGCGCGCGCGCACCGCCGCCAGCTGACGCGGGCCCCAGCGCGCGCGCCTCCCCCGTCCCCCGCCCCTCCCCGTCCCGGGGGCCCGGCGCGCGGCCCTGCTGACGTCAGCGGGCGGCTTGCGGTGCGGGGTGCGCAGAGCCGCTGGCGCACTCGCGCGCTGCGCTCGCCCCCTCCCCCGCCCGGGCTGTGGCGCGCGCGCTCGCTGGCTCTCCCTTCATTTTTTTCTCCCCGCCCTCCCAGCCTCTCTCTCTCCCTCGCTCTCTCTCTCTCTCTCCCCCTCGAGCTCCCGGCTGCCCGCGGCTCCCTCGCGCTCTCCCCTCTCCGGTAGGCTCCACCAAGCGATGCGAGCTTTGGGAGACAGCGACGCCGCCTCCCGCTAGAGACCTGCCCCCCGGCCCGGCCCCCTGCCCAGCCCTGCCCTGCGCGCGGGGGTCGGCGAAGGCGCCGCGGACGCACCGACGGCTGAGGACCCGCGATGCACATGCACTAGCAGCACCCCCTCACTCATTCCCTCCACACCCCGCGCCGCCGCCGCCTCCTCCTCCTCCGGCAGCAGCGGCAGAAGGACCCACCCTGCCCCCCACCCCACCCTCCGCCGGCTCCGGCTGCGGCTCCTGCCTCAACTATTATTTTATTTATTTTGGGTCGTGCACAAGCCTCAGTGCCTGCAGCCCGCGCCTCCTCGGACCGCGGGCGCCTCCTCCCTCGGCCCCGGAGCCCCAGACCCCGGCCACCTTCGCCTCGACACCCCTAGAGCCCGCCAGCTGCCGCGAGTCTCCGCTGCTGGAATCTTGTTAGCGGCTGTCTTTTTGGGGGGTTCTGGTTTCCCGACATTTTTGTTTTCAGCCAAGGGAAGGATATCGTGGTTTTTTCCCCTTTGAGCCCAGGCTCTGCTCTCTGGGGGGGTGGGGGGCGCGCCGAGCCGGGGAGCCGTGCCAGCCGAGTCGTGCGGGCTGTGGCAGGGAAGGGGCCACCATGGGATGTACTCTGAGCGCAGAGGAGAGAGCCGCCCTCGAGCGGAGCAAGGCGATTGAGAAAAACCTCAAAGAGGATGGCATCAGCGCCGCCAAAGACGTGAAATTACTCCTGCTGGGTAAGGACTGGGGCTGCCACCCCCATCTCCCGACCCCGGCCACTCCGCACCCACCTCCGCCCGCTCTCCCACCCTACTCGTGCCTGGGGAGACCTGGTCCCCGATTTGGCACCACTGTGTGCCTAGGATCATCCACCCTCTCGCCTGCTTTACCCCCATGCCCCCCCTCTCCGTTCCCCTAAGCTGACACTCACCAGTTTTTACCCCTGTCTGTCCCAACAGGGGCTGGAGAATCAGGAAAAAGCACCATTGTGAAGCAGATGAAGTAAGTCCCTGTGGCGTTGGGATTTGTACTTTTATTAATAATTTTTTGTCATTTGTATTATCTTGCTCATTCCACATTGCTCTCCAGGCCTGGTTTCTGATTCGCATACACACATGCACACACACACACACACACACACACACACACCTGGATTTGACTCCCCTCCCCCACGCCCTACGTTGGTTCTGGGTCCTCCACCCCAACTCCCGGGTGGGTGTTTTTTTTTTTTTTTTTTGCGGGGGCGGGGAGGGAAGTGAAGCGCCTGTAGTTGTATGAATGACAGTGTCCGCCATATTGATCAGAACATCACACTATTGGCATGATTATGATCATTACTCTTGCTCCTTGGGTGTATCACTACCTCCATTTCTATCTCTGTGTCTCGTTTCATCTGTATTTCTCTCTCCTCCTCTCCCGTCCCCCCCAATTCCACATCCTTAATCCCACTTGCCACTGCTCTTCTCCTGGGGCAGTGATTTTGAACTTGGCTAAAACATGGAGGGGACCCAGCCCTAGACTGGGGTGGAGGATCAGGTGTCTGCTGTTCAGGGGTTTGGTGCTGAATTGGAGGTTATGGTTTCTGCCCCCCACCCCCGTCCCCCAGAAAAGGGGTTAGGGGAAGGGGTATGTGGTAGGGGAGGGGGTGGGTTTCCAAGCAGGTGTGACTGGCACAGCTGTATCCAAGGCAGAGGTGGAAGGGGGACGCTGGTTGAGGCTGAATGCCCGTCCCTTTCTCCCCCCCCCCCCCCAGCGTTTGCTCTCCTCACAGGAGCAGTTTTCCTTCACTCTGTGGCCTTTATCAATGTATTTATTTACACTCTGCAAAGGCCATCTTCCTTGTAATCTACCCACAATGCGGATTTCAGGCCCCACTTGCCACCGCCCCCTTCTGCCTTAGATATCAGTTTCCCCTCCTAATTAACTGGGGGTGGATTTGAGTGATGGTTGAAAATTAAAACAAAATGGGATATTCCTTCCCTTCCACACTTTCTCAGTAAGGAGGCTCGCCCCTCCTTCCCACTCTCAAGCTTGCTTCTTGCCCCATCCACTTGGCAATTCCTGGTGAGCCCACAGGCGGCTTTGCTTGGGAGGGGGTGACCTGCGGGGAAGGGGTGTGCGCCCTCAGGGCCTCCTGGCCCTGCTGCTTCCGTTGGCCTGTCAGTTCAGGACAGAGGAGTTCGTTAAGACCGTTTAGCGAGGATTCCACGTCGCTTTGCTGTGACACCTTCGTGCACACACAGCTCCTAATTAGGGGTTGCTGTGCAGTAAACAAAAATGATTATTTTTCAACTTGACAGAATAGCTGAAGTAATTGCGTCCCGTAGGAAAACAATGGAAAATAACCCCTTTCGCGGAAAGGTGGGTGGGAGACGAAGCATGCTTGCGGTTTCAGACCCAAGATGCAAAAAATCTTGCATGTGTAACAGGCATGACAAGCGGGTTCTAGGCGGCGCCATGATGGTAGGGAGTAGCGACTCGGAGACAATTTCCCCACGTCTGCTTGACATATTCTTATTTTCGTTCGAGAGCTCCCTTGGGCTTTCTTTCCAGAGGCCCTCTTGGCTATCCGCACCCCTCTGAGCCACGGGTAATTTGGCCTGGGGCTTCTCTGGAGCTTATGCAGCCCAAATGGATGGGGAGGCGGGGCCTGGGGAATTGCTCTTTGCAACAAGGTGCATGTTGCATCTGCCTGGAGCCCTTGCAGGTCGGTAAATGCAAGCAGCGCCACCCCTCTCTCCCAGAGGGGGATGTTTTAAAACTTCAGAAGTCTGTAATCTGCAGTGGCGGCCTCAAAGCCAGGTAGAAGCCCCAGCCACCGAGGCTGGGTGAGGTTTCAGGCGTTGCGAGTGGTGGACAGCGCCCAGCTGAGGCCGGAAAAGTCGATGGGGCTCAGCTCGGTAGCGCTCGGCTCGGCTCGGCTCGGCTCGGTGCGGACTGGGCACGGGGCTCGGAGGGACTCGGCAGTGTTCGGAACGGAGTCGGTGCCCCAGCGGAGAGAACCGAGCCGCTTCGGAGGGGGCCGAAGGCATTCGGAAAGGCTCGGGGAAGTGGGTGGAAAGAGTCTGCAAATTAACTTTGCATCCACCAAGGCAACTCCTTACCTGCTTTTCCCCGAACATGCCCTATAAATTAGGTTGATTTAATAAGAAGTTTAAAAATATATACTGAATCCCCCAAAGGTTACGTCGCCTTTTTTATTCAAAGAGAGCTGAGTTCTCCAAGGAAATAGGTGTGCCATTTTAGAATGAAAATTCCCAATTTGTACTGGGGCAGGAAATCTTAAATGAAGGCTATATGTAGACTTTTCTCGGGAAAGTCTTATGTGTCTCATATTTAGTTACACTGAGGAGGGGGAAAAAGTCAAGCCTTTGATGTTTGAGATGGTTAAATCAGATATCAGAGCATTTCTTCTCTTTTCCGTGTACGCTCCCCCGCCTCCACTTTTCTTACTCCCATAGGACACATTTTTGGAGAAAAATGTCAGGCAAAACTGAGATTTTGTAGGTAAAAGTATTAATATTTTTTAAAAAATACACCAGCTTTTTAGGAAATAGGCCAGGTTTGTTCAAAACGTCAGTGAAAAAGATTTCTGGCCTTGTAAATTTTGCACAAGGGACCCTGGCATCTTGTCCTCCTGAAGCATTCATGAATGGCAGCTTTTCCTGTGAGCCCTCCAGCTTGGCTTGAAATAAATCAGATCAGGGCCTTGTGCCAAGCTGGATGCAGGACTTGTTTTATTAACCACAAAATGTGGGATTGGTGTCACTGTATCCTAGTGACAAATTCTTTTGAGTCCTCCCTTGCAGAGATGATTTTCCCAATCGCTACTTGACTGAAAGTCACTTGAGTCAGGAGACCTGTACTGTGGGTGGGGCGGAGCCCAAAAATCTGGGTGGCATTTAAGAAAGCAGTTTTGGACTTGCCTATGTAGTGTGATTGGTGACCAACCTATCAGGCCATATGTATGAATTAATTTGGATGCTGCGTTATTTCATCTGGATAGAAGAAATTAGAGAGTCCTCCATGAGTGATTGCCCTGTGAGAATTTGATGATTTCCTAATGGTGAATGGAGTTTAATTGCTCCTGTTAGATTGAAAGAATATTGATATTCAGATATCACCAGACCCTTTTAAATCAGTGTTTCCAGAAGAGCAAAGAGCCATTCCGTTGAGCCCATATTCTCATCCGTGTGTTGTGGCGTGCTGATTGGAAGGAATAAGCTTCCATATATGCCATAGTAAGTGAAGTTATATGACAAAGGACTGACTAGTAGATGCTGCTCAGAAAAAAGTATTAACACTGACATCAGGCTAGGAATGTTGCAGGGAGACTGACCTTTGAAATTCTTTTGCTTGATACGTGTTATAGTGGGAAACCTCCTTCCATTTAAGAGATGCCACAGATTAGACCGTCATTTAAAAGCCTGATTCGTAATACTTTATTAAAAGTTTCATTTGAACATAGCTTGCTGGGGTGTTTTTTTTGTCTTTGCATATGTGATCGTGAGTTAGCCTTTGGGAGCTCTGTGTCAGACAATCCAAAACATAATTTCAGTACTGAGAAATAAACAATTGATCATTGAAACAGCACAAATAAAATTTTACACACACCATGAGGATTCAGTGACCTTTTTTAATATGTGGTATTTAAATAATTCTGCTCATTAGGAGGCCGTGACTTCACCTGTGATATGGCCGCATCATTTTTGCAGTCTGTGGGAATCTTTATTCAGACTAATCAAAATTTTAAAAGGAGGTGTTAATTTTATTTAATTAGCAAAACCCTTACAAAGAGCTCTCTTGAAGAATTATATTTTATGAAGTATGGAAGCAACAGAATATCATTTTAAGGGACTTCCCATTTTGAGCCGTGACAACTGTTAGGGCTACCTACCTGGTGAAAATGTAAAAGGAACTTGTGGAGTTGCTGTAGGCACCACAGTTCGCCCTCATTTGGGGTGTTGAGTTTTCTGTGATGTCACGTTCAGGCTATCTGTCTCTGAAGCAGTAAGTGGATTTTTAGAAAGATAAGAGAGTTGGAAGGTGGCAATGAGGCGTGGCCTGCAAGCTGCTGGCTTTATATATAAATGGACACAGTAAAATGGAGCACTTTGGGTGTGAGCTCATTCCCAAGGTGCCTGCTCAGTTCCACTGTAAAACAAATTCCAGGATTTGCCTGGTGAAGACATCCTTTCTCACACAAATATCCCAGCCCTTACAACAGGTTATGATTGTGAGGACAGACCCCATCCTGTTGGGGCAGGGGGTCTTAAGACGTCACCTGCTGCCAAAAGCTGGGGGTGTCCTCCCACCAGCTGACCCTGCCTTTGTAACTAGGGTGTCTCCTGTTTGGCTTAGGTTCATGGCAAGCCTGTGTTCATTCAGCACGCTGCTGTGCAGCACCTGCTAAGTGGAAGGGAATGGCCACTTGCAGCCATCACTCTGTGGAGTGCAGCCGTCTTAAAGGGCGTTCCCTGCCCATCCCGGAAGGGTCCCATGTGGAGACAGCACTCTGGAGAGCTACTCTTCTAGATTTGTGGACTTGTTATTTCTGCAATCCTCTCTTTGGCTGCTTTGCCCTTCCCCCTTCCTCCGGTCTCCATGTTTATTGAAATGGATGCACCTTGCTCTCTGGAGACCGCGTGAGCGCAAACAGAATGTCAGATCAAGTAGCAGATGAGTTCTCCTTTGCTGATGGATGGTGCTCTCTCCCTGCTTACTGTTCACTGAGCTGTAAATACCAGCAGACCTTCCTGCCAGAAGAGTAGCAAACAGTCCACCTGATCTCCTCAGGAATCAGCTGTGGAACTCTTGAACCTCGGTTACCTGTTGGATTCTGAAGTAGAACCTGTCTGCTTGTTGAAAGGGTTGTTCCTGATTAGATTAAATGAATGAGGCTTCATTCAGGATCGACATGGCTCTAACAGAATCCAGTTTCTGTTCTCTCAGTATGGGACTAGATTAGATTCGCAGTGCTCAGAGTCAGAGTACTGTCTTGT